GAATAAATGAATAAGAGGAAACCTCAACTAAAATATGTATCTTTGCAGAAACATGCAAAAGGACAAGATTTACTTAAGCGAGTGTGTGAGCACCTCAATCTTTTGGAAGAAGACTACTTTGGTCTAGCCATTTGGGATAATGAAAACTCCAAGGTGAGGAATTGCTGATAATGTAAGAAGCTGTGTTGTTAATTAATGTATTTATGCCTGCCTCTCCAAGACACGGTACACTTAGAGTTATTCTTATTTCTCTAGACTAGAATGAACATTTTAAAGAAAAAAATATCATTGCTGCTGTGTTCTTTCATCATTGAAAATATCTATTGTTTAGTTTTAAAAGACAGGCAAAGTACAGAACTTTGATATCCTGATTAGTAAGTATATACCAATAACCTTATGCATTATGCAATTAGTATTTGATCTAGTATGTAGCAGGTTTATAATAAATGTTTGTTGAATGGATGGTTCTATCATAATTATCTTACTATAATTATAGGATAATTATGATATACAGGGATTGGCAAAAGTAGGTTTATAGTTGGGAGTATGCAAAACACAGAGTTTAACCTTGTATTATTATTTATTAATTATTGTATTATTTTCCATATGTACAAACTGTAAACCTACTTTTGCCGCTGCATACTTATAATTTGAAAGTAACATTATAAAAGAAAATAAAGTCCCAATATTGCTGAAACACTTATACAATGAATCTGACATTTTCTTCCAACCTAAAAGAAAACCAGTAAAGTTAATTGAAGGAAATAAAAAAAGTGTGAGAATATAAAGGAGGGAAGAAAGGTTAAAAGTCAAGGATTTTTTTAAAAATATATTTTTTTATTGATTTCAGAGAGGAAAAGAGATAGAAACATCAGTGATGAGAGAGAACCAATGATCGGCTGCCTCTTGCACGCCCCACACTGGGGATCGAGCCCACATCCAGGCATGAACCCTTACCAGGAATCGAATCATGACCACTGAGCCATGCTGGCCAGGCAGAAGTCAAGTATTTACTTCAGAAAACTTGAATTATTTCCTGGGCCAATTAACTGAAAATTACAAATATTTAGCTCAAAATTTAATGATGAAGACTTTAGTTCAGTTTAACAAGTATTTGCAGGTGCTATACTAGATGATATGGATATAGCTGTAAATAGGTAGACATAGTCCTTGCCCTCTGGAGCTTACAGTGAAGTGTGATGAGTGTCATACAAATGGAAGTACAAGACGTCATGGGAGAATGTAGCCAGGGAAGTTCTCTCTGGACAGCTGATGCCTAAGCTGAGACCTGAAGGATAAAATGGGCTAGTGAAGTGGAGAGAGAAAGGCCTGGAGTTGAGAGAGTAGCATTGGAGGAACTAGGAGCCATCCAGCCTGGCTTACTATAGGGAGTGAGGAATAGAGTAATAGATGAATGTGTGGATGAATTATTTTACCTTAGGAGTGGGAAAATCACCTTTCACAGGCAAATAGCAAACACTAGTATAATGAATATTACATTAAGAGTGTGAGGAATTTAGTTTTTAGTTATCTGAAAGGATGGATTGTGTTCTATTGATTCATGACTGGCTTTGAATGGCAAATGCCAGTTATGATTGTGTCTTTATTGTCTAGTAAATGAGAAAGACTAAAATAAATTTTGTAAACATACTTGCAGAGCAGGAGGCCATTTTGGGGATCTTATCTTTTGCTAGGAAGATTTGGGTTGACATCACTAGTGGACTTGTTTATTTTTAAAATATGTTTTTATTGATTTCAGATAGAGGAAGGGAGAGAGAAATAGAAACATCAGTGATGACAAAGAATCATTGATCAGCTGCCTCCTGCATGCTCCCTACTGGGGATGGAGCCCGCAACCTGGGCATGTGCCCTGACAGGAATTGAACCATGATCTCCTGGTTCATGGGTTGAGGCTTAACCACTGAGTAACACCAGCCAGTCTAAATGTGGCTTTTAAAAACATGTAAGCAGTGAAACCTAGATTACTTGCACTATAGTGTCTATAAACAACTTAAAGTTCTTTGGTCTTAATGAGAGACAAAGAAGAAACACCCAGGTTACCCCTTTCTGACAGGGCTTAGACAACTGTGTGCCTAGTTTTATACTATAGATTAATTTTATATTGTATTATTTTTAACATATATTTCTTAATCAGCTGTGGTAATTGTGGAAGTCGGGGAGATAAAAGGAAACTAGTCCTCACTCTTGTGCTTATTGTCTGTTATAGTAACTATCCTATATAATAAAAGGGTAATATGCAAATCGACCAAACGGCAGAATGACCAGTCACTATGAAGTGCACTGACCACCAGGGGGCAGACACTCAATGCAGGAGCTGTCCCCTGGTGGTCAGTGTGCTCCTGCAGGGGGAGCGCTGCTCAGCCACAAGCCAGGCTGATGGCCAGTGATCTCAGCAGTGGTGGAGGGAGCCTCTCCGGTCTCTGCGGCAGCACTAAGGATGTCCAACTGCAGGCGTAAGCTGTTAGTTGGACATCCCTTGAGAGCTCCCGGACTGCTAAAGGGTGCAGGCCAGGCTGAGGGACCCCCCTGCCCCCGCAGTGCACGAATGTTGTGCACCAGGCCTCTAGTCTTTATATAACAGTTAAAGTGATATGTGGTTAAATAGAAAATTGTGGTGTTCAAGCTCATTTCTTTGGTAGGGCAAATGGGATGCTCACCTCTGCTTGGCCCTTGTTGGTAGAGAGTGAAGAGGGAACACCTTACTTCTCTTGTCTAAATACCACTAAAATTCAATTTTAAACTTTTTAGTGGAGGGAATGGGAAGGGATTGGGAAGAGGTGTGAGAGGAGCTCCTGGGATGCACGATAATCTATATATATAAAACCCTAAGTAACCAGAACGACCAGGATGACTTGTCACTATGACTTACACTGCGGGGTGGTGGGGCCGGACGGTCAACCTCCCATGGCCTCTCCCCGTGGCTGGCCAACCACCCGCGACCCCTCTCCCAGGCCGGCCCCACCCCCACCCCTATCAGAGTTGGGCTGTCTGGCCAACCTCCCGCGACCCTTCCCTCCGGCCAGCGTCAGCCCGATCAGCCCCCTCTACCCCAATTGGGGCGGGGCCAGCCGGCCCCCACCCATACACGAATTTATGCACTGGGCCTCTAGTGTTGTTATATATTTGCTTTGATAATTTATGTACTTTTCTATATGCATCTTATGTCAATAAAATCTTTGAAGCAATTCAAATTAGAACTTTCTGTCTTTAAACATTTCCCAAGGAGCCTATGAAAGATGTTAACGGGGAGGCTCTTTTCACATACAATTATTTTATATGGCTCACCACAGTGCTGGGCAGATTTTAAGTGGGATTGGAAAACAGTGAAGGGAGGGGTTAATGTGGACAAGAGTAGTCAGGGGAAACAAAATAGTCATTCAGTAATCATTAACTGAGTATGAACCATGTGCCAGATGCTGTGCTGACATAGAAAAGCTAGAAAAATAAGATCTGGGTGATGTCAATAATCCTGGTTATAGGTCTCTACTAGTTGTTATAGTGTAATAAAAATAACAAGTGCTTATTTAGCATTTCTTGTTTACTAAGAGCTTTATATACATCAATTCATTTAATCTTCATAATAACTCTATGAGATAGGCACTACTACTAATATTTCATTCTATAGATGAGGAAACTGAGGTATAGAGATGCTAAAAAGGGACACTCAGCTAGGAAGTAGTGGAGCTAGGATTCCAGCCCAACTGTCTGGCTTTATATTTCTCTGCTTCATATTTCTGTGCTATGTGAAATTAATACAAGAATATTGGAAATGTAGGTTGACCTAGAGGCACTATTTGAAATGGTCAGTAATCCTGTTTCTGGTACTCTCTTGTTTATGTTTTGGAAATTTGTATGAATGTCTTTTCTTCTTTTTACAGACATGGCTGGATTCTGCCAAAGAAATAAAAAAGCAGGTTCGTGGTAAGTAAATATTGCCTTTTTGTATAATTCTTTCTTTTAGTAGGTCAGCGGATTTCCAACCATTTTCTGGCTGTGGGTCACTTTAGAATCCTGACTATAGTAGATGGCTTTGAAATTGAGATAAAGCCTTCCCCTGGAAGGAGGAGATTCCATAATAGAGAGGTTCAGCGATGGTGGACACTGTTAAGATGTAGGTCAGATCTTAATGATTTTGTTTTCTTTTTTACAACTAGGCAAGTTGGGGAAGATAGGTTGAGAGAATCAGAAGGTGGAAAAGAACAGAGATGAAAAGAGAAAAAGGATAGGGGACTCAGTTCTCAAAAGGGTAGTGATTGAAACTGTAGCAGCCCTCAATTAGAAGTATGCTGCCTGATCCTGTCCCTTTTAAAATGTTCTGGACTATTGCATTCTAACTGTCTCCATGATTTCCTCTCTACAGTTCGTTTTGTCCCTTTTCAACATTCTTCTTCCAAATTAAAGTATAAGAATAGATAATAAGAATTCTTTGCCAATGATCCTTTTGACATTGTGGCCTTCTCCTAGCTTCAAACCCTCCAGAACAGTGGTTCTCAACCTTCCTAATGCCACTACCCTTTAGTACAGTTCCTCATGTTGTGGTGACCCCCAATTTCATTGTTACAAATTGAACATAATTAAAGCATAGTGATTAATCACAAAAACAATATGTAATTATATATGTGTTTTCTGATGGTCTTAGGCGACCCCTGTGAAAGAGTCGTTCAACCCCCAAAGGGGTCACGACCCACAGGTTGAGAACCGCTGCTCTAGAACATATCACTGCTACACACCCTGCTCCAACTAATGTCTAGGAATAGATATTTCTAGGTCAGTAAAGTATAAATTAGTATTTTCTAGCCCTAGGCCCATTGGGATGGCTAAAGGATAGAGACTTTCTCTCTTAACACCCCATTTATGACTAGATGTCCTTTTAATTTAGTTTATTTTGAGGAAGCTTCTAGGAACTGAAAGATGTTATTCATCATGATTAGAAGTTTTAACTTTTAATCACCTGGAAACAAATTTTTTTATTTGTTTCTTAAAAGAAAACACTTTTATTATGGTGAAATGTTTTCCTTTAGACAAGCCGTGGGCAAACTACGGCCCGTGGGCTGGATTCGGCCCGTTTGAAATGAATAAAACTAAAAAAAAAAAAAGACCGTACCCTTTTATGTAATGATGTTTACTTTGAATTTATATTAGTTCACACAAACACTCCATCCATGCTTTGGTTCCGGCCCTCCGGTCCAGTTTAAGAACCCATTGTGGCCCTTGAGTCAAAAAGTTTGCCCACCCCTGCTCCCTGCTTTAGACCCTGTACACTTCAGATATAGTGTATATATATCTACACTAATAAAAGAGAAAAATGGTAATTGGCATATGACGCTACCTTTTCATTGGCTAATCAGGGCTATATGCAAATTAACTGCCAACTAAGATTGGAAGTTAACTGCCAACTAAGATTGGCAGTTAACTGCCAACAAGATGGCGGTTAATTTGCATATGTAGGCACAATGCAGGGAGGCTAAAGGGAAAGCAGGAAGAAGCCCCCTGCCACTGACAGTGATCGGAAACCCAGCGGGGAGCTAAGAGCCGCCTTTGCCCTGCCCCCCAGCCATGATCAGAGAATCAGGCGCCTTTGCCGCCCTGGCCAGTGATAGCAGGAAGTAGGGGTGGAGCCAGCGATGGGAGC